ATGAAGGTTAGATTACATTTCTTGCCTGTGCAGTAATTCCCACATCATAAATTCTGATGAAATTATATCAATCTATAAAGCAAATGGATGTCTGACCTACCATCGCTTCCTACTTCTCAGCGAGAGAGGCTGCCATACGAGCAAATCCCCAGCTGCTCGGAGCGATGCTATTGCAGCATGCCTTTGCCTGGGAACTGTTATTAACTATCCTGACCAGGAGCGGCTGCTCGAGTTTGTGGTTTCTGCTCTGAATATTAAGCTTGGGCATACAAGAGTCCTTATTGTGGGGAGCACTTGGAAATGGTAATACAAAATTGCTTTATATTTGCGGGATTTGATTGCTTTGGATGATACAGCCCTAGCTGGTGGGCCTCTCTCGCTGCTTGTATTCCCAGATTATAAATCATTCCTTTGACAGGGTATCTGCCACAACCAGGTCTCAGTTTCCGTGGTATCATTTTTTATATTACAACTGGCAACTGCTCTTCTGGGCTGTTCATACAAGTGACACATTTTGCATAATTTATGAGAAGGGGGTCAAAATCAAAGCTAATAAAAGCCTCCCCAACTTTTTCTTGTACATGTCAAGGCATCTCAGGCTTTGAGTCTTGAGAGGACTGGCTCGTGGATAGAAGATGTTTTTGTACGGTGTTGGTCGGCACTGTTTACCAATCCTGAAATTCAGTGTCACAAAAGTCAACATGAAACAAAGCTGCATCCACAATTAGCCAGTGAGTTACTGATAATCAACTTCCAAGAACAAAATAATCTCTCCTTAAAATTTATGGAAAGAAGCAAAAGCACTTAATGCATCTTTCCTAAGAAAAGGTAGCTAGAAGCGGGTGCCCTGTTTTGCTCTTCTGAGAACAAGAGTTTTTAACAAGATGGTGTGCAGGTCTTCCTTCCAGTTCTGACATTTTGGTGAGGTTACAAAGTTTCCTGGCGGAATTCAAGCACCATGAATAAAGATGATAGTCAAAAACGTATACTGCTGCTTTGTTGCAAACAAGTTTGACTTCAGGACTAAGACTTAGTCCTTAGAAGCTCTCTCTCATTCCTGGAACCCATGTACCAGCTATATAGGAGAACCCATGTTCCTAAAGTTACACATTTTAACTCCTAGAATACAGCTGCCTGGTGGTTGTGCCTGAGATGCCCTGCTTTTCCTCCATGAGAATTTGGGGAGACATTAATTTGAAAGATGATACCAAATAAGCCTAATGAGATCCAAGCAGCAGTGCAAAAATGTCCTCCAAATTATGCTCTTATGAATTTATGAACGAAGGAATCAATAGTTTAAAAGACTGTTTGGAAAGCACCGTGGCCCAGAAATAAGAAGCTCTCAGTCACTCCCCACAAGAGGCCTGCTTACTCTGGGTCTCCTTGGTTGCTTTTATGAGATCAATGGTTCGTTGACATTCCATTAGTCATAATACAAAGCAGGAACTGTGAGTGGCCCAAGGCTCAACATTAGCTGGAAGTGGTTTCTAAATTAACCAAGTTCAGCATTTCCTGAGCAATTACTTGCCCTTCCCCACCCGCCTTCCTCCCCCATCCAAAAGAGGATTTGTATATATTTTCAAATATAGCCAAAACATAATTGTAGGGTAACCAGAGAGATCTCGTACAAAACTGCTGTTGGAAACCCACAGATTCTGTCCCTGAGCTCAGTTAATGTGCCGAAGTGGACTGTGTTCATATATGTGGTCTGCACGTTTCAGAGCTCTTTGGGAAATCATCTCTCTCCAAAATGCAGGAAAAAGAAGTTAACTACGCAGAAGAATTTTTTATTGATAATTGTTGAAGGCATTTTGAAATGGATTCCTTTGAGAAATTTACTTTGATTATTGGATGTTAGAACTGAGAAGACTTCATAGACAATTTCATTTTTCAGTTGAGAAATGGAGACCCAGAAGAGTAAAAGGTCTTGCCCAAGTTCTTGGAGGCAGCAGCAGAATTAGGACTAGAACCTAGAGACTCCTGGCTCCTGGACACGAACAGTGATTTTCAAGCTCTCTTGCCTATGAACTGCTGTATGCAACATGTTTTCCATTATAATCCAGTCAAATTTATATCCAAGCAACTGAAACAAAATTTCGAGAAATGATTCTTACCTTTATTATGTGTGATGTGCTCTGATGCATTCTGTTTTGTTCTTTTTTCACTTTTTTCTTAACACAGGTCAGGAGCTACTTTGGCTATAAACTACAGTTTTTAAAACAATGTTCTAGGTTATGTTTGCTCAAAAATGGCTTATTAGATTTCCTTTAATAAAGACTTCCTACATCCAAGCTCCTATTTTACCTCCCCATCCCAGAGACAGAGTGGAATGGCATTCCTCATCCAAGCCCAGGATTCTGCAGACTTGCTACATTTGATAGAAAGAAAACTGACTCCTACAATAAGTCATGTTTTTCCTTAATATTAGTGCCCAGAAAAGCGTAAATGTCTGGAAAAAGACAACCCAAACAATAGAAGATCCAGAAGTGATGAAAACCAACAATTCTACTAAAATATGACTTGTTCAGCCAATAGGAGGCCACTGTTCTGCAGAGATGCTTATTTGGACTCTTGGCTGAATTTTGGAGGCTCTTTGGCTTGGAATAAATGGTTTTGTTAATAACTGCTCCATAAAACTCAGTGTGGTGTTTGGCTTCTTAGGGTGACAGTAAACACCCCAATTCCTCCATCCAGTGGCACTAGCAGAGGAAAGGGTGGGTTTTGCTAAGAAGCTAAGCCAGGCTGCTAATCTACCAAAGAGTAAGGATGGGAGATCTCCTCTGGAGTGGTTTGTAGGGGTTTGCTTGTGGGTTTCCCAGCAGAACTCTCAGGTGGTCCGTACCTCCAATCTTCTCTGTAGCAAAACACATGAAATCCTAGTATCGATACATCCACCCAACATGTGGCCAGTGTTCCTTCCTCGCCAGGGGAAAGCACAGAGCCAGTGAATCTGAATGGCAGTAGAAAACTGCAAGTCCCCCAGATGCCAGCAACAGGAAACATGGAAGCAGTTCTCAGAAGACAGACACTCAACGTGGGCCAACTCCTGGCCCGTGATGATATGCACACTCCCCGTCTGAAGTGGCTGCGAGCCAGGTGCGTGACCGCAGCAAGCAGGAACTCCTTTTGTCCACTTCCTCCACGGGACAAGGCATGGACCTGCATCTCATCAGTTCGCAGAATGCTTGATTCCAACCCCGGGCTCATCCTTACAGACTGGGGATGGAACAACTTAGCTTCTTTTACTGGAAATTCCCATGCCGCCATCCTAGGGTAATATGGAGCCAGCCAAACCTTGTTTTTCACTCAGGGCTGATTTCTGGCACAATTCCCATTGCAGGACTCCAGCACTGACAGAGGTTAATGGGTACCATTTAGCCACTCTCGGCAGCAGTGGTTTGATCTTCTTGGCTCTGATACTCTTCCTCCTCTTGGCACAAGAAAATTCAGCTTTTGCCCTTTATCTTGTTATCCAAGAGCCTGAATGCCCATGACAGCCGTGGATGCAGATGCTGCCCCTTCTAAGTCCTTGGCAGAGCAGTAAAATTCAGACCAACGCAGGCAGTGTGCATTGAGCTCTTTCTTTTTCCCTACACAGCCAGCTGGCCTGTTGCTGAAACCAAGACCAATCAGAAAAGACACACACGCATATGTGGCTGGTGCTGCCTTGTTTTCTCCTCCACCGCGAGACACAGAGGAACAGGGCCTGGAGGAAGCAGTTTCTCTCTTGCAGTAAGCAAAGGCGATTAAATCTGCCCTGAATCCAAAGAACCCTCGACTACCTTGAGTTCCTAAATCCCGAGAGTAGCATCGGCCCACGCAGTTACACACGAACATGACTTTGGAAGAAAACTGCCGACGTAAACTTGACTGCCTCTTGGCAAACAAGTGCACATCGGTTCCAATTACAAACAATGGATCACTCTCTTCTGGAGCACCTACTACTTTTTTAAAATCCACTCAGAAGGCTCCTGACTCAGCCTCCGATCCCACTGCAGAGAAGTAGGGATGAGAGGAGCACACAGAGGTGGGGGCCTGCAGTCAGCATGGACCATACACAGTGTGAAGTCCTATAACTCCTGAGGATGCCTCAAGTCACTATAGAGTCCAGCACCATTCCACGCCTCTACCGAGTGCCCATGGGCTTATGGGGGCACTTAGTACAAGCAATTTCTCCTCCAGCACTGGGATAAATTGCTGTGGCTTTGGCTGAGCACCAAAAAAAAAAAAAAAAAAAAAAAAGTAGTTGGTTTGCATTTAGGAACACAAAATGTATTTCTTTTAACCCAAGATTCATACTCGAAGAAGCAAGAACTTCACCAGGACCCATTGAGAGCATGTGTCACTCTGGCAGATGCCATGGGGGGAGTGGCACACAGAATTGCTAAAGCAGGCAAAGACATTCATGACTCAGTTTCTCTAGGAGCACCCTCCTGCCACCCACCTCTCTTCAGCCTTTTCTCTCCGAGCACAGAGCAGAATTTTCTCATCTTTGGGAATGAATCTTTAGTCCCCAGGATAGCTGGGAAGGTGGCTCAACTTCCTGTTTAGAATCCCTGCCCCTTTCCCCACCATGAAGATCCCAGAATTATTCCAGAATAATTCCCATTTTGACCTATATGTTTGTTCCAGAAGTTCAAAAAGTTTTGGATGAGGATATTCAAAAATCAAAATTGGACTCCTGGAACTCACAGGGCTGGACTGAGAGCTAAGGGGCTTCGTGGGGAGCTCAGGGCCTCAGTTTAACACCTCTGAAATGGGCATAGTAGCACCCTTTGCTGTGGAAAGAGTGGAATCAGCTTAATTAATTGGCTTCCTCAGAGCAGAAAATGCGTCATCCTCTTCAAAACCTTAGATGAAAGGTGCAAAATGGTGTCATTGTTTCATAAATTGCTACATCAAACATGGGACGCCCTATAAACCTACAACAGGTAATTATCATAAAAATAGCACACTGTTAAAACTCCCAGAAGAGCAGGGCATATTTGATGGAAGAGGAACACACAGGGTCCTGAGCAAGGAGCCCTGCCTCCAATTCACCTCCCAGGACCCAGCCACTACTACCTCTCCTTGAATTTCTGTAACAGCCTCCCAGACGCTCTCCCTGACTCCACTTTGCCCTCCGTGGTATTGTGATTTATAATATGAAATGTATATTTGGCCTTCCCCTCCATTTGTGGCACAGAACTCCTAAACCCTTGGAATTTCCTAAGTAAGGAGAGTAACAGAGAGGTCTTTTGCTGCGCTAATGAGGTGACTTTGGGACAGTGCCTTAAGGTGGGGGCTGGTTGCTGGGGAATGAACCATGAGATGAGAGGGTGGGAACTCTCAGCCCCACACCCCAACCTCTGGAGGTTAAATCAATCACCAATGGCCAATGATTTAATCAATCATGCCCACGTAATGAGGCCTCTGTAAAAACCCAAATGAACAGGTTGGAGAGCTTCCAGGGTGCTGAGCACCTGGAGACTGGGATGAATGGCATGCTGAGGGAAGACATAGAAACTCCGTCCCCTTTCACCATACCTTGCCTTGGGCATGTCTTCCATCTGGCCATTCCTGAGTTATATCCTAAGAAATAGGTAGTCTTGTGGCGCCTAGGTGGCTCAGGTCATGATCCCAGGGTCCTGGATAGACCCAACATAGGGCTCCCTGCTCAGCAGGAGGCTACTTCTTCCTCTCCCTCTGCTGTTCCCCCTGCCTGTGCTCTTTCTCTCTGTCAAATAAATAAATAAAATCTTTTAAAAAAGAAAAAAATAGGGGATCCCTGGGTGGCTCAGCGGTTTAGCGCCTGCCTTTGGCCGAGGGCGTGATCCTGGAGACCCGGGATCGAGTCCCACGTCGGGCTCCCTGCATGGAGCCTGCTCTTCCCTCTGCCTGTGTCTCTGCTTCTCTCTCTGTATCTATCATGAATAAATAAATAAATTTTTTTTAAAAAAGTAATCTAGTAGGACAAATGTTTCTCTGAGTTCTGTGAGCTCAGAGATTAATTAATCTGAAATTAATTTAAAAATTTCAATCAAAAATTAATCAAAGAGGAGGTCCTGGGAACCTCAGATCTATAGCAGGTTGGTAGGCCAGGGGCCCAGGTGACAACATGGACTTGTGATTGGTGTCTACAGAGGGAGGACAGTCTTGTGGGACTGAGCCCTTAACCTGTGGGATCTGACACTGTCTCCAGGTAGATCGTGTCCAAATTGAGTTGAATGTAGGACACCCAGCTGATGTTGGAGAATTGCTTAGTGGGGGGGGGACCCTACACCCAGATATTTGCATGGCTTGCTCTCTCTCCTCCTCTAGGCCTTTGCTCAAGTGTATTTTCCTGGTGATGCCTTCCCTGACTGCCTTATTTAAAACTGTAGCCCTCACTCCACATATAATCTCCCTGCCGCTTTCCCGCTTATTGCTTTCCATAATTCTCAACCATCTAACCCACAATTCTTGTTTCTTTTCTGCTTCCCACAGGACAATGCCACCTTTACAAAGGCCAGGATTTTGTCCTGGTTTGCTCACTGCTGCCTCCCCAGCACCTAGATCAGTGGCTGACACATGAAGGTGTCCAATAAATACTTGTTGGATGAATAAATGAATGACAAGTTCTTCCACATGTAAGGACTTTTTGTACTTTCCACTTTCCGTAAGATTATCCCTCGTCAGACCCTCTTATCAGTACTGCAGCTGCCCTTTTGACTATTTTTAGATGTTCAAGCTGCCTTAGAGGGAATTATCTGGTAGAGACGGGAAGAGACAAAAAGACAATACCATGGATTAAATTTAACTTGTTTCCCAAAAGTGAAGACTATGCCTTCTCTTCTTTTACATCCCTTTTCTTTTTAATCTGATACAGCCCTAGGCTGGAACTTCTCTGATGAATCAATGAGTCAACAAGTCAGAGGTTAGATGCCGGCTTTCCACCACTTTGTGTTGAGATCCAATGGACCCTTTTTGTGAAGATGGCATTGGGAGAGAACACCCATATGTGTGGCTTATTAAAGGCCTTTCAGTTGCAAGTAGCAAAAATCCATTCCAGCTGGCTAAAGCAATTGAGTGGGCTTTACTGGAAAAACACAGGGATAGCTCAATGAACCTTAAAAAAGGAAGGACTCGTGAGTGATTGAAATCATAAACTGGAACGCCGACATAAGCAGTGTTTATTTTCTGGTTCCAGTCCATGGTCTCTCCTCACAGCTGGCCTTTTTGTACCTGTTTCATGTACCTCTCTGTCTCTCCATGCATGGGAGTGGGACACTGCTGCCCCAGGTAGCTTTATGGTCACATGCCACACAAGCCCCACCAGCGGCCACAGCCCTATTCCTAACTGCAGGGAAAGTAGGATCAGCTGGCTGAGGACAGAAATTCACCTGCTGTAATTTGTCATTGCAATGGGGGGTGAAGTCTCTTACATATCTGCAATTCCTTATCTGGACTTTGTAGATCCAAAAGTATTTTAGATTTTACAGTTTTTCATATTTTAAAATGGGGATGTCCACTGTGCATTATATGACATCATCATCACTGGGTCTGAGGCCATATTCTAAAATTAAAGACATGAATACGGGATCCCTGGGTGGCGCAGCGGTTTGGCGCCTGTCTTTGGCCCGGGGCGCGATCCTGGAGACCCGGGATCGATTCCCACATCGGGCTCCCAGTGCATGGAGCCTGCTTCTCCCTCTGCCTGTGTCTCTGCCTCTCTCTCTCTCTCTCTCTCTCTCTCTCTCTCTCTCTCTCTCTGTGACTAGCATAAGTAAATAAGAAAAAAAATAAAATAAAGACATGAATACTTCTGAAGGAAAATGAATGAATACTCATAGTAAATGGAAAAAATAAAAAGTATTCACAGCTCCAAGTCAAACCAGGTCAGCCTCTGCTATCAAGCGAGTTCAAATAGGGTTTGGAATTGACCCAAATGAATTGCAAAATCTTTCAGCTTCCAGAATCATTTGGATTTCTGATTCAGGATAAGTAGGGCAACCATGCAATTTATTGTGCAAACTTCCCTTCTGAGAGTAAAGGGGTTGCTATTAAGGATTGCACTGCGAGGGAATGCTGAGAATATGCATGTGGCAATGTCATTTCCTAATCTCTCCAATCTGCCCATAATTACAGACAGCGCCACCAAGACAACAAAACCAAAACCCATGAACAACATCTACTGAAGAAAACTAAGTAAAGGTAGCCCTATAAACTCCAAACCATTAAATATTTAAGAGCTACCAAATCTATGCAGCATCTGTGTAGGAAAAAGCACAAGGAAACTCTGGGTTATTGAATGGATTGACTTGAGGACAGAAGAATCCCCAAATCCTGACTCTGACCAGGAAGTGGGCAGGTCAACTTGAAACAATTGAATCTGCAACAGACTTTTTTACTATCTAATTCTTGGGTGAGTACAAAGGTTTATGAAAATATCTTTTGTTTTGTTTTCAAGAATTTTTTTAATAATAGATTTATTTTTTATTGGTGTTCAATTTGCCAACATACAGAATAACACCCAGTGCTCATCCCATCAAGTGCCCCCCTCAGTGCCCATCACCCATTCACCCCCACCCCCCGCCCTCCTCCCCTTCCACCACCCCTAGTTCGTTTCCCAGAGTTAGGAGTCTTCATGTCCAGAGTTAGGAGTCTTCATGTTATGAAAATATCTTAAGGGACTGCATAGCCTGGGTCCTAGGAATGCCCAAAAAAATAAAGCAAAATTTCCTTTCCTTCCTTCTTCTTTGGAAGTATAATACAGAGTAGGACAGGGACAGGGAAAAAAAAATGATCCCGATAAAACTGTGGGTAGGCAGCACTGGGGGCAGTTCTCTGAATTATAAAGACATATTTGTTACTGCTCTGTAAAAAAGGAAGAGGAAGAGGAGGAGGAAGAAGGAGGAGGAGGAGAGAGCTCTAAAACCATGAAACTAGAAAAATATATTCTAACTTCTCCACTCCCACCTAAAAGTAAGGGAAAACTCCTTTTACATGATGATAACCAGCAAAATATAATCACAGTTGAATCCTACACAAAGTGAATGTTTTTTAAAAAGAGATTGAGGAAGAGAATAAGTGGCATGTCAGACACACCCACAAAGTACATAGGAAATGCAACCAATATTTCAAAATGAGCTAAAGAGATAAAGATGCCATAAAATTATGGAAAATATGGGGTGCCTGGGTGGCTCAGTCAGTTGGGTGTCTGACTCTTGATTTCAGCTCCAGTCATGCTCTCAGAGTCCTGAGATTGAGCCCCACTTTGGGCTCCACACTCAGCCAGGAGTTTGTTTCTCTCCCTTTCCCCCCCTCTGCCCCTCCCCCTGCACACATACTCTCTTTCTCTTTCTCTCTCTCTCTCAAATAGGATAAATCTTTTTAAAAAATTAAAATTGGGGGATACCTGGGTGGCTCACTGGTTGAGCATTTGCCTTTGACTCAGTGCATGATCCCGGGGTCCTGGGATCAAGTCCCACATCGGGCTTCCCGCGGGGAGCCTGCTTCTCCCTCTGCCTATGTCTTTGCCACTCTCTCTCTCTGTGTGTGTCTCTGATGAATAAATAATTAATATGCTTTAAAAAATTAAAATTGGTCACCCTGGTGGCTCAGTCAGTTAAGCATCTGCCTTCGGCCCAGGTCATGATCCCAGGGTCCTGGGATGGAGCCCCATGTTGGGCTCTCTGCTCAGTGGAGAGTCTGCCTCTCCCTCTCCATCTGCCTCTCCCCAAGCTCATGCTCTCTCCCTCTCTCTTAAATAAATAAAATCTTTTTAAAATTTAAAATTGAAATTATGGAAAATATGAAAGAAAATCATAAGTTGGAACTTTTTAAATTCAGACACAAGTTCTAGAACCCAGGAAAAATTTAGACATAAAATAATAAATCATTTCATAAGTGAAGACTGAGTTATAAGAAATAAATAAGTCAACAAGAAATAACGCCTTGCAAAAAAAGGCCAAAATTTTTTCAACTAAGAAGAAATAGACAAAAAGGCATTAAAAAGGGATGGTAGATATGGGAGAGAGGTCAAAAAGAAAAAGCAACATATTATAATCGGAGATCCCCCTCCACCTCAAAGAAGGAAACCAAAGTAGGAAAGCAGAACAAAAACTGAAAACTAGAATTCCAGAAAATTTTCTGAAATAAAAATTTGCTTGAAATTACAGTTGGCCCTTAGACAGCATGAGTTAGAACCATTCAGGTCCACTTATACATGGATTTTTTTACAGTACAGTACCATAAATGTCTTTTCTATTCCTTATGATTTTCTTAATGACATTTTCTTTTCTCTGGTTCACTTTATTGTGAGAATACAGTATATAATACACGTAACGTACAAAATATGTGTTGACTATTATGTTATCAATAAGGCTTCTGGTCAAGAGTAGGCCATTATTAGTTACATTTTTAGGGGAGTGAAACGCAAATTTCCAACTGCGTATGTTGGTGCCCCAGCCTCCAAGGTATTCAAGGATTAGCTGTACATATTAAAGGAACATATCAAGGAACTGAAAAAACAAAAACAGAATGGCCAACATTGAAATGTCATCTTGAAAACCAACTGGACTTTAAGAAAAAAAATCCTATGGGCACCCAAAAAAGATGAAGTCACTTAGAAAAACTACGATTATCATCAGATTGCTCAATAGCCATGCTTTATGCCAAGAGAAAATGGACTATCTTTGACATAATCAGGGGAAATTGTGATTTTATATTTTTTTAATCCAGTCAAATTGATATTAAAGTCTAAATACTACAAACTACAATGAACATGAAAGTACCCCAGATATTTTTCTCAGAAGCTCTTCCTGAGAAATTTACTAGATAATAAGCTTTGCGGGATGAAAATGGCGGGAGACATTGCCACGAGGACTGGTGGTGATTCAGTATTCCTGGCAGGAGAAAATGGAGATATGAATATAAGACAAAAGCTTTACGTAAAAACCCTGTAATCCTGAACTTGAATTGAAAGTATCAGCATACACTCATGACATGTTTCACCTTTAAATTTTTCTTAGCTATATCCACTGAAAAGGCCTAGAAACATGACCAAATAGTAGGAATGAGCCCCCCAGTGCTCCAAATGTGGTCTCTAAGTACTATGTTCTGCTGAAAGGACACAGGGCTTCTTGGAAAAATAGCTCATTCCAGCACTGCAGGGGGTGTTCTACCGGATGGACCTGACACCTCCTGTTATATTAAAAGCAAGGGAGTTATCAAAAGCTATTGGGATCTTGTCAAAGAACTCAAGAGCCAAACTGAAGACATCGCCACTGACCAAACATGGGACAATTTGAGTACCAGTAAAGATAATGTGATGAATTAAAATATATAAAATATACTTAAATCCATGAATTAATAATGATATCAAAATAATCAGTTGGAAAAAGGAGATAGAGAGGAAATCTTCCATGGAAGGAAACTCAAAAGATAGGTCAAAATATTGCAATGCATGTCCTACGTGAATCTTAGTTCAAACAAACAAAAAGCTGAAAAAAAAACATGCATTTATAATAACACTTATGGGAAAAGTAGAAATTTCAACACTGCCTTGGTATTTGATTATATTGGGGAATTACACTTCATTATTTCAGGTATGATAATGGCATCGTGGAGATGCTTTTTGTTAAGTTTCTATCTTTTGTAATTATGGAGGCTGAGGGGACACCTGGATGGCTCAGCGGTTGAGCATCTGTCTTCAACTCAGGTCGTGATCCTGGGTCAGGGGATCAAGTCCCACATCAGGCTCCTTGTGAGGAGCCTGCTTCTCCCTCTGCCTGTGTCTCTGCCTCTCTCTGTGTGTTTCTCATGAATAGATAAATAAAACCTTAAAAAAATTATGGTGACTGGGATTTGTTTAAAAATAGTACAAGAGTGAAAATGAGGATACTTGAAGCTTTATTATTCTATTCTGTACAATTTTGTATATTTTGGAAATTTCCCATAAGAAAAGTTGTTCTTTGGTTTTTTTGGTGGTTTTTTTTTTTTTTTTTCATTTTACACCAGGATAGCAGACCTGAATTGGGACTGGTCCAGGTGGAACAGGCTAAATAGTTCATCCTTTGAATAAGGGATTATGAATAGATGACCCCAATAGTTGCTACAGAAACCCAGAGATCTGATGACAGGCCTGTCCAACACCCCAAAAGGTGTCCTGGGTAATTATATTCAGATCATTTAGCATTTTTTATGTCATTAGCTAATCTATTTTTGTTTCCGTTTTTACCTGTGTTAATCCCATTTAATTTGTGTAATGACAATTCCTTATTTGTATAATAACAATTCTGCTATGTGCTTGCTTTTTTGTTTTTTTGGGTTTTTTTTTTCTCAGTCTGGCTCAGTTTCTCCAAAAAAGCCTCTAGCAAACAGGCTACTAAAATTTGGCAGCTTTATTGTCGAATGCATTCTATTATCATTTTTTTAAGGCTAGCACCACATTCCTTTAATGATTTAGGACCTTGCACGGTTTTAAATGTCTCCCAAAGCTTTCATTGTAAATTGTGCTAAACATCAAAGGAGGTAAGTGATGCCTAGATGCTGTTTACCTCCTGTGAAATTCTTCGCACTAAATAGGATGGGTAGCGCTCAGCAGATTCAGAATTAGGGGAGGGTAGGAAAGAGTAACCCTCATTTTTGGATGCTAATCCAAGGCCTCACATAGAGTCTGAAAAACCATATTAGAAAATATTTTTTTTAAATCAACCTTCTGCAAAGAGTCCTCTGCTTTTATCTCCAATCCCATCAAGAAGCACAGCGACAATTCCCATGTCCACAGGGGCAGAGAGGTCCTGTGAGGCTGCGGCTAGCTTAGGGTTGGTATTACCAGTTTGTAATGGCATCTGTTTAAATAGAGCCTGTAAGTCAGAAGCCTACGAAAGTCCTTTTTATTTCCTTATGAACTATTTGAAAAACAAAAGCAAAACAGCATCCAGACACATCCCTGCTCCCCTGTCTGCAATGTTCTGTGAGGTGGGCGGCGGGGGCGGGGGGGGGGCGGGAGGGAAGGATTCCTGTTCCTGATGCTTCCACTGACATCATTTGATGCTATTGGGATGTTTGTGTCATTCTTATGAAGGTTATTCAAAGGAGATAGCTTTTCTATCTCCCAGGCCCTATTTTTTTAAGTAAAAACAAAAATGCAATTTCTGCTCATCCCTTGCCACCATGCCATCTTCACAAACTTTTTTGACAGCTTTGTGTCTCCCTGGGTGGCTGGTTGTTTTGTGACATGAAACCCTGATACTGGCCCATCCCCTGTCTGGAATTTGTAGGTGGGAAAATTTCAATCTCATGGTTGCAGAGAGAGGCCTGCTTTCCCCCTCTGGTGCTGACACATGTTCCCTTCCCAATGGATACCCTTCCTCATCGGCCTGTCCATCCATCCCCAGATCTTTA